AATATTTAAATATTTTTAAATTTTTAACGTTTAGTATACAGCCAGGAGATGTCGTTACTTGTAACCATTCTTAAACAAGAGTAGGAATATTCTCGCACAGTATTGCAGAAAAACATCCTTTCTATGATCAAAAATTACACTAGAATGTTACTATTCTTAAGTAGTCGTAGAGAAAATCTATTTCTATGCTTTGGGGTATTTTTTGAGTTTTCTTTATCTCTGTTTCGTTCCTTTGAAGTTAAAGTAAGTAAATACAATAAAATCAGTTGCTTTTATATTATTTTTAGACCCATTTAATATTTAATTTTAATGTAATTATTAAAGCTTATTTTTTAGCTAAAACCAATAATAATTAATAATATTACTATTTGGACATTTGTCTGGATAGGCACTGCTGTCCAGTTTGGAAGAGTCCTATTCAACATAGGTACTGCTGTCCCTGGTGGAAGAGTTCTTTAAATTTTTATTCGTTATAAAAGGTAATAACACCGGTGGTAATAGCAAGAAGACTAAATACAGGAGGAGTAAATTGCTAGGGGCAGGCCAAAAAACGTACGCATGTACTCAGTAGTAACCTTATGGTTATGCAAAATGCTCGTGCGCACAGTGTCTGTATTTTAAGTAACCCAGCCAGAATGGGATGGCAGCTATAAATGGTGAGCACTTTGCACATCCGCAGGCTTTCCTGCGTACGCTTTTTGTCGTTTTACGTCTTGTGGTCGTCGAACACTGGTCGAGAGTTAAGCCTGATTTATAGATTGCCTTCCCTCCTTCTTTCCTTCCTCCCGTAGAAGATAAACAATACAATCCCGTACGGGAATCTATAAACGGCACTACGGTTTTCGTATTCTATATCTTTTACGGGAGGAAGAATATCTATAAATTAGGCTTTAAGCCCGTTGCACAAAAGCCCGGCAACGAGAACGGGAACCTGAATGGTAAAGGTGGGGGATACTCATCAAATAATATCAATTAATAGGGGTTGCCCACCTTTACTGTTCAGATTTTCGTACCCGTTACCGGTCTATTGTACATAATATCCTTTGCTATTTGGTTTAAGTTAGTATTTAAGTAGTAAGTTGTTAAGCAACCTCTTTAAAAAATTAAAAGAATGGAAGGCGGCCGAATTAAAACCTCTTGCAAATTTCCGAACTGCAAAAACGTACGTCGCGAGGGAAATTCCCAAATTAAATTTCACATATTTCCTGCCGATCCAAAGTTTGGCAGCAAATTTGTGAAATATCAGAAGAGAAAAATTGCAAGAAATATAGAATATGTAGGGTTCATTTCACAGATGCGGATTATAATAATCATAATGATCCCATTAGATTAGGCCTAGCAGCTATCCCGAAAGAAAAAAATTTTGAGTCAGAAAATGTAAAGACTTTGTTAGAACAACCCAGTTGTTCTTACATTGATTTTCCAGCTACTGACTCAGAAATTGAACAAAATATTTTTTTTCTAATCCCTCCACCTCCACCGCTACTAATAAACCAACAGACAAATATTTCTTTTTAACAAAAGGAGGAATACTAACCAAAGCAGGTTTAAGTAAGCCACTTTTAACACCATCTGAGAGTATTATGTACAAAGTACATATATGAATGTGGAATCGAAGCTATCAAAGTTAAAATCACTTTTGGCAACTAAGCGGGTACATTTGACCGCCCTTAAAAGTTTATATGAAGAGGGCAGATTCGAGCTCATCAGTGGACAATCTCCCTACGCGCGTAGATGGATCTTACAAGACAAGGCCTTTGCCTTAAGCTCTCGTTTATATAAATATTTAAGAGCATATTTTCAACTACCATCTCCAAGACTGCTTAAGTCCACTTTGGCGGGCATGCCCTTTAATTGCGGGCTTTTACAAGTGGTGGTGGATTTATTAAAGAACTTGCTTACCTACCTAACAGCATTACTATAGTACTAGACAGGCTGATAAATACTTACCCCCAAAAATGTTTAAGTCTATTGGTCAAAGATCTAGTGAGTACATTGGTGTTAAATTATACAACATTATCTCTACTGATATAGCTAACACTGTATCGATAGATGCATTCAAACTTAAATTGAAAAACTTTTTAATTAACACTCCAAGAATTACTATCTCCAATTTTATTAAACCCTAAGCTTGTGTGCATAATATTTATAATATTTTAATTGTTCTGCGTTGTTTAAATTAATAAGTAAAAATAGTGTAATGTATTATTTGTATATATTGTAATATAAATATGTGTGTATATATGTGTATGTACTGTAATGCTTTGGAATTTTTAATGTATATATTGTATATGTATTTGTATGTGTGTGTATAATGTTGGCTGTATATATTCATATTTATGAATTTGAATATTTTTGAATTTGTATTTTATATTTATATTTACCAATTTTTTGTATTTCTAAATTTTTTTTTAACCCCAGACAATTTTACTTAAGGGGTTTGTTAGTTTATTTACTAATGGATATTTTCCTATTTATATATTGTATTTTTTTTTTCGTGAATAAACTTATTATTATTATTATTATTAAGAGAAGAGATATCTTGTTTCGAAGATTTGGGTACGTTTGGGCGATCCAGCAGACTAGCATGCTCTTGTTTTTCTTATCAGAGGGATTAAGAGACACGATTTCAACAAATGCATTAAGAGATATTATTGTGTTGTAAAAAAGATGCAAGAAATTGGCATCAACATTGTCGCAACAGTATGTGATCAGGGTCCTACCAACATGGCAGCTATTGCTCTATTAACGCGATCACATACTGATGACAAGCCGAGTCCCTTCCATTTTTCTGTCAATGGAAAAAAATATGTACCATCTTTGATCCCCCACATTTGCTCAAAAATACCTGGAACGCCCTGATTGACTGTGATATCCAGTTTGAGCCAAACAAAATCGCAAAGATGGAACATTCCGCATATTTAAAAGACCAACAATATAAGACCTATAAAGCTCTCCCGAAATTAAAGGAGTCTCACTTTAATTTTCGGGACAGTTTTCAAAAATGAAAGTCAAAACTGCTGCCCAAGTTTTATCAAAATCGGTTACATCTGCCATAGAGATCTTCGCTATTTGGGGACATACGCCTCCAGAGGCGCTTCAAACAGCGGAATTTGTTAATATGATGGATGACCTGTTTGATTCTCTAAACTCTGCGGGTCCCAAAGCTATGGACGGAAAAAAATTTAAATGTGGGTTATCTAAAGATTCCCCTCATTTTGAATTTTGGTCGTCACTCCTTCCCAAATTGGATCAATGGAAAATGTATGACCATGATAGTAAAAAGCAGCGAACAAACTACAGGTTTGTTAAGGGGTGGCTAATAACAATAAGGGCCGTATAATTACTATGGCGAAATTTGAGACAGGAAGGGCTTCAATCCTATAAAAAAGTATCTATAAAAAAGTATCTATAAAAAAGTATCTGAAGGACATTCCAAAAAATTGAAGAAACAAAAAATTGAAAAAAATTCGCGAAAGCAATAAGAGTTTTTACAATATTTAAATATTGTTTTAAACTTTTGTTAGAATTTTTTTAAATAATAATTAAAAGGATAAATGTGTTAACTAACTTTTTCGTATCAAGCAAAAATGTGTTACATAACCTTTATTGCTTACTATTGTAGTTACCACCTTTTTGTTTAGCACGAAAATGTTAGTTAAGACCTTTATCTATCAACCCCTTCAATTATTATTATTATTGATACCTATATAATAATTGTAAACAAGCTCTTCTATTAAAAAATCTTTTCTTTGAAAATAGTTTCTTGCAACAAATTATTATTTTTTGTTAACTCAAACCATTTTGTTAAGCTAGACCGGCCTGAACAATGCATAAGAAATTATTTAGCATTAAAAACATTGAATCTTTACATTCCCCATGAAAAAATACCTAACTCTGATAAATATGCGATAATAGCTGTGTAGTGCAAGAAAAGATTATTACAACCAATTATTTAGGTCATGCTAATTATTGATGACATAGCATTACATTTAGTTATAGTTAAGAATACATGTATAAATCAATGCTAGTATTGACGTTGTACAGTTCACACAGTTAAAATATATGTTGAATATGAAAAGTTAGCTCTTGTGTTATTATTTCAAACAAAACCAGTTAACCAATGACGTCAAGCATTACATGGCGATCCTGCCACAAGAAGTCTTACAAATAATACTGATACTGCCACAAGAAATTTTACAAATAATACTGATCCTGCTACAAGAAGTTTTATAAAGAATACTGATCCAAGATGGGAAAAACTAGTTCTAAACATGCCAAAGTTACTGACACGGGTGTGGTAAACTCCAATTTCATTGTAGAAGAGGAAGCTATACAATAGATGTAAGGATTGTCTTATATATAATCGCAGTGAGTGTAATGGTAATGCTAGCTTTACAAATTAGAAAATCCTATAGACGTGGGCTAAAACGAGAATTCTCAAGAAGCATTGCCTTTAGGTTCCAAGTTGGAGATGTCTAGTGAAATTAGTGGTGCAGTAGATAAAATATAAAACAGTAATTTAAAGGAGTACGAGTGCTGCGTAATCATAGTTTATACACATTATCATAGTGAGTGACCAGTACTCAACATCTTATGGAAGTTTTCTCCGTTCTCCTTTCATCTGGACCACAACCCCCCGAGTCAACAGAAATTTCTGACTTTTAACCAACCATCGACCAGTGACCCTCCTAAAGAAAGTAAGCGTCATCAGTTATGGTATGTGACACAATTTAAGTAAAAACGTTGCGACAAAAAATAATTAGGTTGTTACTATAAACAATAAATGTTAAAATGTGTGATTAAGCAATTTTACAATCTAGAAATAAATTATTAAATAGGTAGTTATTTGTAGTTCGTAAATTTTTTGCATAATAGCAAAATATATAAAATGGCAATAACATTAAGTTTATAATAAAATAAGAAATTAAAAAAAAAGTTTACGAAGTAGATATTTAATCATTTTACAATTTTAAGTTGGAGATAAAATAAAATTATATGTCATTAAATTGGAAGGAAACCTTTGCCAAGCTATCATATTTAAAACAATCCGCGGATCCATAATAAATGAATCTAAACGCGTTTTAAAACAAGTATCCAAATCAAAATTAGTTAAAAACGAAGTTCGGGATAATTTATTAAATCTTTTTAATCAATTTACAGAAATTGTAGCATTTTATTATTTTTCATTAAACGAACAACAAAGGCTAGAAGTTAAAAAACTTTTTACGACTTTAAGAGACAGAGTAGTTAGATCGTACCAGGTGTTAAGAGTAGATTTTAAAATACCTAGTTCATGTGTTGAAGCTATAAATCTCGAAATAAAAGGTGTGTTGACCCGCCCTCCGTCAAACGAGAAAAACGCAACCAAGAATACATCTACACGTAAAGCATCCTACCTATTCGAAATTAGACATTTAAATTAATGTTAAGTTTTTAAAATAATGCAGCGTTGCCCTTTCTTAAAAATACTTGAATTGTATAACGTTTAATTACTTGGGTTGTACGGTTTGGTATTTTATGAATATTTTAAATGGGGTCCTGTTTAACCGAGCGCGCTAAAGCCGGCCCTATCCCATTAGGTTGGGAGAGGTCGAGAACTGGCGGGGCGGCAGAAGGATAGCAACAGGTGAAGGTGACGGATCGTCCGAGTGAGTCGTGGGTTTTTGTGGTGAGAAATAAACCTTGTAGGTAAGCTAAAATGATCCTTTACCTTGTTTAAATTAACTAACTAAGGTGGTTGTATATTTTAACCAAGTTTAATAATGTAGATTTGTTGTGTTTTGGGGATATTTGGTCGAGAGTACGTTATGCGTCTATGTGCTACGTAAAATGGCGGACGGGCGTGAAAAATACTTGTCTAATGTATTGTGCCTGCTCGCGATAGGGAAGAGGGTTATAGGAGGTATTATTATTATTAAATAATGTGATCTAATCTAATCTAATCTCTTCACAAGACTAGAGCTCGCCAATAGAGTTCCTAACCGCCAAAGGGGTCATACTGTAATATGTAATATGGAAACTATTATTAAATAAGGTAATCTAATCTAATCTAATCTCTTCACAAGACTAGAGCTTGCCAATAGAGTTCCTAACCGCCAAAGGGGTCATACTGTGATATGTAATATAGAAACTATGCATTTATTATGTACACTGTAGCGGAATATGTTTAGATAGCTATAAAAGGTTTCAATACACTAGACAAAACGGTTTGCATCCAATAATATTCATTTTATAACCTGTTGTATTGTGGGGAGGGGTAAATTACACTTGTAACATTTTATAAATCTGCTTTATTAACGCTTGGTATGACAAAGTACAAATAACAAACGCTAACTAAAAACCAATATTCAATAAACACTGCAATAAATAAAACGCTAACTACCGTCAACCAAACCTTTGTAAAAACTCCATTGTAAACAAACAATGAATAGAGAAAACATACAACCATACTTATTGTGTTTTATTACCTAATCTGGTCTCCTCTCATTGGCTACTCCACCTATCTAGAAGCGAACTAAAATAACACAACGTAGGGTCTCCTTTTCTATTTTCTAGACGATCACTTCTTTTGGCCAAACTTGACAACACTGCTTGCGCTGTCAATATTTAAATTTAGTTCGCGCGATTCTTCAAATCGCCTTGGGTTACTGCCGTTTGCATGAGTATGGGGTACCCCCACCCCGTGCCCATCACAGAATGGTGCCGTGACCAGGATTTGTCGAATTTGCTTGGTTTTCTTTGGTTTCGACACAGTGCACGGTGTCGTTTCTGGAGCTATGCTGAGCTTGTTGGATTTTTTCTTGGTTGCGGCACAGAATGTGGCCGCTGCATTTGGAGTGCCTGAGAGGAGGTTATATTTTGTAATTTGGTTTATATATAGGTATATTGTTGGTTGTTCTTGTTCGGGTGTTGGCTCTTTTTTATTCTTTAAGGTTACCCCCCACCGTTTGGAAGACGCGCTGACCCAGTGGGATTGTTTCCTGTTGAATTGCAACTTTAGTATCCAAGGTATACTGCTGAAAATGCGACGCTTGCTGGAAAACTCCTGCGGCCCATATTTCCTGCTGGATTCTCCTGCTGGGATTGTCACTACTGTTGGTCGCACTTCCGCAAGCCACACTTTACGGATCATGCGGGCCCTGCGAGCCATCCTACTGGGCTTATTCCTGCGAGCCATTATAATTGGTTCATTCCTGCAGACCCTGTTGCTCCCGCTGGTCCTAATGTTCCTGCGGTACATGTCACATCCTGCTGGGCTTACTTCTGCGAGTGATCCTGCTGAGCTCACTCTTGTTCCTGCAATCCATTTTTCTTCTGCTGATCCTGTGAGATAGGTCAATCCTGCTACTCCTGCTGGCTATGACTGCCTAGTGATTAGGATCCTACGTTTTGCAGCCATACGAAGATAGCTGACAATAGCGGGTGAGTTTTTCTAATATTTTATTTGCTTTAACTTTTTGGGAGGGGAGTTCTGCACCTTTGAGCTGAGTTGCGCTCTGTAAAGAGTAACGTAACGTTGTCCAATTGAGAGGGTCATCAAGTCAAAATGTATTTATTGACTCGAAATGTTGGGAAGGTCAGTCTTAATCAATTTTATTTTCAGCTTGGAAAAGAAAAAATTGAAAATATGACTGAAACTCTTTGAAGCCGGTATTTATTATTAGTAGTGGAATCTTCTTAAAAGCCAGCTACTGATTTTGGCTTTTTGTTACTTTCCATTTCAGCAATTTCTTGATTGTAGCTACATATTCTTTTGCAGCTAGCTTCAAAACATGTTTTGAAGGTGACCTACACAAAACGCAGTTAAATCAGTTAAAAGGGCAGCTAATTTAAATACTAGGGGCGCAGCTGGATATTCTATGAACACAGTTGTTTGTTTTGAAAAATCATTTTAAAAAACTGTTACTTTCCAAAGCAACTATGTACTTGTAGTTAATCAATCATTGGTTATTATACCTAGAGTGTTTGGTGTTGTCCTTAACCCATTCTTATCATATTTTCTGGTTTCCTACCAAGTTTGCTCTGCTTTTAAGAACGTAGTGCTGCCGCTGACGAGAGGTCGGTTAAGTAGGGGCGAGTTGACACTTTAATGTTCTTAGGTGCAGGAACTTCTAACAATCAAACAGCTCTTCTTTTTTCTCTTTTATGTTTACGTTTTTTCTGATGACATTTTTGTGGTCTTCAATAACTTCAAAAAATCTTTTGTTTCAGCTTCTGGGTTTGAAGAATAACTATCATTTAATCTAACAACAGTTGTTATTGTAATAAGTTTAAAATATTTTAAAAAGTTTACCTACAAGGTATTGTTTTCTTAAGTCTAGAGTGCAACTTCCATAAATCCCAAAGCTGTCTGATATTTTTTTCTCCTAGTCGTATTTTTGGTATTGTTGGTTTTGGAGGTTATGTGGATTTTTCAACAAGTCAAAGAGTCGCTCCTTCATACTATAATGTTTAAATTTTTAGAGTATGATAGTTTGTGATCCACCTTAGGGGCGGCAGTGTACCACCAAAATTCGAAGTCTTAGGAATCCAGTAGTTGTTTGTTTCTTTGACTAGTATGCAGGACTGGTTGCTGGTTTCAGCGGGATACTAAATAGCCATTGAGTGGTTTGTGTAAATTTTTGGTTCTTGCTGGTTTCGATCGAAAGGGGCGAAGGGTGAGGTTGGTCTCAGAAATACGCTACTTCAGTTACCCTTGGGGTTGGTTACTAACAACTAAATTCTAGCAAATAATAACTTTACCCAAGCTGTCGAAAATATACCGTAGTGCTAACTAAATAAATGTAGTGGCTTTGTAGAATGTTTGTATTGTATTTATTTATGCATTGTACTCATCACTCTCTGTTCTCTGTTTACATGTACACTGTGATGTCCTTTTGGGAGCGGGAACCTGAGGAACTGAATGGCAGGGAGATAAAGACACCTACTACCGGACCTCGTCGGCCAAGCGGGTTCAACTGTTGAAGTTGAAAGGATGACCAAGATTCCTACAGCCTCTTCGCCATCTTTCAAAGGGGCGTCTGTGTTGACCCGCCCTCCGTCAAACGAGAAAAACGCAACCAAGAATACATCTACACGTAAAGCATCCTACCTATTCGAAATTAGACATTTAAATTAATGTTAAGTTTTTAAAATAATGCAGCGTTGCCCTTTCTTAAAAATACTTGAATTGTATAACGTTTAATTACTTGGGTTGTACGGTTTGGTATTTTATGAATATTTTAAATGGGGTCCTGTTTAACCGAGCGCGCTAAAGCCGGCCCTATCCCGTTAGGTTGGGAGAGGTCGAGAACTGGCGGGGCGGCAGAAGGATAGCAACAGGTGAAGGTGACGGATCGTCCGAGTGAGTCGTGGGTTTTTGTGGTGAGAAATAAACCTTGTAGGTAAGCTAAAATGATCCTTTACCTTGTTTAAATTAACTAACTAAGGTGGTTGTATATTTTAACCAAGTTTAATAATGTAGATTTGTTGTGTTTTGGGGATATTTGGTCGAGAGTACGTTATGCGTCTCTGTGCTACGTAAAATGGCGGACGGGCGTGAAAAATACTTGTCTAATGTATTGTGTCCCTGCTCGCGATAGGGAAGAGGGTTATAGGAGGTATTATTATTATTAAATAATGTGATCTAATCTAATCTCTTCACAAGACTAGAGCTCGCCAATAGAGTTCCTAACCGCCAAAGGGGTCATACTGTAATATGTAATATGGAAACTATTATTAAATAAGGTAATCTAATCTAATCTAATCTCTTCACAAGACTAGAGCTTGCCAATAGAGTTCCTAACCGCCAAAGGGATCATACTGTGATATGTAATATAGAAACTATGCATTTATTATGTACACTGTAGCGGAATATGTTTAGATAGCTATAAAAGGTTTCAATACACTAGACAAAACGGTTTGCATCCAATAATATTCATTTTATAACCTGTTGTATTGTGGGGAGGGGTAAATTACACTTGTAACATTTTATAAATCTGCTTTATTAACGCTTGGTATGACAAAGTACAAATAACAAACGCTAACTAAAAACCAATATTCAATAAACACTGCAATAAATAAAACGCTAACTACCGTCAACCAAACCTTTGTAAAAACTCCATTGTAAACAAACAATGAATAGAGAAAACATACAACCATACTTATTGTGTTTTATTACCTAATCTGGTCTCCTCTCATTGGCTACTCCACCTATCTAGAAGCGAACTAAAATAACACAACGTAGGGTCTCCTTTTCTATTTTCTAGACGATCACTTCTTTTGGCCAAACTTGACAACACTGCTTGCGCTGTCAATATTTAAATTTAGTTCGCGCGATTCTTCAAATCGCCTTGGGTTACTGCCGTTTGCATGAGTATGGGGTACCCCCACCCCGTGCCCATCACAAAGGTGAGGAAATTGAAGACGATCAACAAACCAATATAGAAGATACCAAAGATTTAGAAGAAACGAAAGTAAAAAACATGGAGATGACTAAAATTGATATTTTCAATTTTGCAAACAAAGTACTTCCAAACGCATTTGACGGCTCCCCTGATAAGTTACAGTCCGTTATAGATGCGCTGACCTTGCTAAAAAGCAATGCCGCGGGTCATGAAGAGGACGCAGTGGCTTACGTAAAAACAAGACTTATAGGAAAAGCGCGCGATTTAATAACCGACGACACATTGGACGTAATAACCACAAAACTTAAAACGGGAATAAAAACAGACAGCTCGCAATTAGTAACAGCCAAATTACTCTCCCTTAAACAAAAGAATAAAGACGCAGCAGGTTATGCGGTGGAAGTAGAGGCGTTATCATCCAGCTTAAAAAGAGCATTTATTAGTGAAGGTGTCCCTGTAGGTACAGCTGAATCTTATGCGACAAATACCACTGTAGAGACATTGAGTAAAAATTCAAATTCAGAAAGGGTAAAACTAGTTATGGAGGCTGGTACTTTTAATAATAGTCAAGACGCAATTACGAAGTTTGTCAACGTTGCACAAGAGTCTAGTACTGCTACGGTCCTGTATACAAATAATCGTGGAACTTACGGAAGGCGTGGAAATAAAAACAGTTTTCGTGGAAAAAATCCAAACTATACTTTCCACTATAATCTTAATAGAGAGCGCAATTATCGCCACAATAATTACCATCAGTCAAACCACCAAGCCAATTATCATGATAAGCCTCTGTTTCCATTTTCGCGCCGGAAATGGAAATAGAGGCTTTCACCAAAGAGGTAGAGGTCAATTTGTAGGTGCCTACAGTGCAAACCAGGACCAGGAAAACCAAGAGGAACCCCAAGTAGGTCCTTTGGGGGACTTATACAAATATTTAATATGGACCTATCACTTCAAATTTCGTGATTGTAACTACCAATATGACAAAAGACGAGGCGATAGTATTATTAGTTGATACAGGGGCGGATATTTCTTTATTTAAAAGAACTAAAATAAGCACAAACCAAATGGTTAACAGATCAAATGCCAGTAAGATAAAAGGCGTCACAGAAGGCTTGACAAGCTCCCTAGGAACAACTTACACCAAAATATACATCGATAAATATTCTGTAGATCATATTTTTTACGTGGTTGAAAAGAATTTTCCTATTCCGGCAGACGGAATATTGGGAAGAGACTTTATTTCAAAATTTCAGTGTTTGTTAGACTATTCTAATTGGACCATGACTCTAAAAACCTACACTAATGTAGAAATATTATTACCAATCTATAATAGTCCTGAAGAAAACACTATAACAATTCCCCCGCGTTCTGAAGTAATACGAAAAATAAACAAATTAAAAAATTTAAACGAAGATGCAGTTGTCTTAAGCAGAGAAATATCACAAGGAGTCTATGTCGCCGGAAGTATTGTCTCAAATACAAACCCTTTTGTTAAAATATTAAATACGACTTTTGAAAGTGTTGCAATTAAAAATGCTGACATAGAAACTACAAGTATGAGTAATTACTTAGTATATCATATAGAAAGTAAAACAGAAAATAGAAAAGACATTTTGTTACAAGAACTTAACCAGGACATGCCAGAATTTGTCAAATCTAGTACATTAAACTGTCTAGAATGCATAGAATACTCGGATATTTTTGGATTAAAAACAGACAAATTAACAACGAATAATTTTTACAGTCAAAACCTTAAGTTAATAGACCAAAACCCAGTATATATAAAAAATTATAGAACCCCACATTCGCAAATAAAAGAAATTAATTCACAAGTAGACAAAATGTTGATAGATAAAATCAGTCCTATTCTTCTTGTACCAAAAAAGTCTACCGACCAAGAGAAAAAATGGCGTTTGGTTATTGACTTTAGACGGCTAAACAAGAAACTTGTAGCGGACAAATTTCCTCTACCGAGAATAGATGACATTCTAGATCAACTGGGTAGAGCTAAATGGTTCTCTACTCTAGACCTAAAAGCAGGTTTTCATCAAATACCATTAGAAGAAAATTCACGTGATGTAACTACTTTCAGTAAAAGCTCTGGATCCTACAGATTCACCAGATTGCCGTTTGGTTTAAAAATCAGTCCCAATAGTTTTCAAAGAATGATGTGTATTGCATTTACGGGAATAACACCTGAAAAAGCATTTTTCTATATGGATGTATATGTATGTATATTTTTGTATATTGTTATCGGATGTTCAAAAAGTCATCACCTACAAAACCTAAGGAACGTCTTTGAAACATGCAGAAAATTTAATCTCAAAGTCAACCCTGCAAAATGCAATTTTTTTCAAAACGAAGTAACTTACCTAGGACAAAAAATAACAAGTTGCGGAATTCTACCTGACGACTCAAAATACGATGTAATAAACAAATACCCGAAACCTACAAATGCTGAAGAAGTAAAACGCTTTGTTGCATTTTGTAATTATTATCGTAGGTTTATTCCCAACTTTGCAGAAATTTCTAGATCTTTAAACAAACTTACAAGAAAAAATACGAAATTTATTTGGACTAATGATAATAAATGGTCTTTTGAAATATTAAAGAAAGCGCTGGTTAATCCTAAGATATTGCAATACCCGGATTTTAATAAACAATTTATAATAACAGCAGATGCATCCCAAGAAGCCTGTGGAGCAGTATTATTCCAAATTTAAGAAGGTCAAGATTTACCGATAGCATATGCTTCGAAAACATTTACCAAGGGAGAAATTAATAAGGCGACCATAGAAAAAGAATTAGCCTCAATTAATTGGGCTATAAAGCATTTTAAACCTTACTTATTTGGTAACAAATTTTTGGTTAAATCTGACCACAAACCCCTCGTCTACTTGTTTTCTATGAAGGATCCATCGTCAAAACTAACCAGGATGCGATTGGATCTAGAAAAATATAATTTTGAAATAGAATACATCAAAGGTAAGGACAACGTAGCTGCAGATGCCTTGTCCCGAATCTCTATAGATGAACTAAAAGAAATTTCAAAGAAGACAGCGCAGGTGTTAGCAATAACTCGTTCGATGGCAAAAAGTAAAATAATAACTATTGACGAAGGAACTGAAGAAAATATGGTGAAAACATTACCCAAAATATACGAAACTTTAGATAACTATAGTAGTTAAAATACCTATATTAAAATTTGATATTAAGCCCAAGTGTTTAAGAATACTCGTGGGATTAAAGGGTCGATATGAAACAGAGCGCAGAATTTTGATCACTAATGGCATTATCTCTTTAGAGAAGATAATGTCTGAGCTTGAAGAATTGGCAAGTGATTATAATATTAAGAAATTAAAGTTAAAAGTTAATGACCCAATATTTAAAGAGTGCATAATAAATAAACTAAAAGAAATAGGCCTAAGAAAACTTAAAGAACATAACATTATCTTATACGAGGAACCTCAGATAATAACAAATAAAGAAGAAAAACAAAGACTAATCCAAAAACTACATGATGATCCTTTTACCGGAGGTCATTGTGGACAAAAGATGCTTTTAAAGAAACTAAGGACACGTTTTCGATGGAAAGGAATGTCACGTGACGAGGCCTTATACGTAAAAAATTGCAAAAAATGTCAACTAAAGTTAAACATATAGAACCCATGATAATAACGCCTACACCGCAAAAAGCCTTTGATATTACATGCATTAACACGATTGGCCCGTTTAGAACAACGCAAAAACAAAACTCATATGCAACAAAATATGTTGTAGTGGTCCCTGTGCCAAATAAAGAAGCAAAAACCATAGCAAAAGCTATTATGAACGAATTCATACTTACGTACGGCTCTATAAAAGAAATTCGTACAGATATGGGTTCAGAGTATAAAAATGAAGTGTTAGAGCATTTAGCTAAACTTCTAAATATGAACCATAAATTTTCCACGGCATATCATAGTCAAAGCATTGGCGGCTGTGAAAGAAATCACAAGGTACTCAACGAATACGTTAGAATGTACATAAACGAAGCCCAAACTAATTGGGATGAATGGGTTCATTATTTTAGTTTCTGCTATAACACAACGCCTAGTACGTATCATAACTACACTCCATTCGAACTAGTATTTGCACGAAAAGCAGAAATTCCCGAATCACTTAAAGGGTTTACGGTCGATCCTTTATATAATATCGACGCTTATTACCAAGAAGTTAAATAATATTTATATTATACAGGGTGGGCCAATGAAATGTTTCCACCCCAGTTTTCTCAGGTGTTACGAAAAAAAAAACAAAAACGCACCCGTCGATTTCTGATTTAAGGGGAACAAGCTATTTTTGCCCTGATTATACCCTCCAAGTTTGAAGTCGCTGCTATAATTCCCATTGATATGACTATTGTTTTAATAGTCCTGAGTAAAAGCGATACTTTTGTGACAAGTCTGTAGGTTTTCCAAACGAATAAAGTAATTATCAGCAAAACATCAGTTTTTTACGTTGGAAGAAAAAAGTGTGTTTTTGTAAAAAAAAATTACTTTAGTAGGTATTGTCCACAGACCACCAAAACAAATGGACGGATTTGTTTACGTTTAAAAAGCGAGTAAAGCATGGTTTCACATTCGAAACACCGTCGAAAGAAACACGGCTTCTAACGTTGTCAGAAGTATAGATTACACGCCTTTTTGGACGTTCATATCATAATGAACATTAATAATTACCAGTTATTCGTTTGAAAAATAAAAAAATTGTAAAAAGGATTTTTTCATCATTTTCTTTAGATATTTTTCTCTCTAAGTACCTACCTACTTATTATTTTTTTAATCCCAATACGTCACTGGAAAAAAACATAAAATTCTATCGCCAATTTAACGCTTAGAATGTGACCGTTTGTTGACGTCACTGGAAGAAAACATAAAATTCTATCTCCAATTTGACGCTTAGACTGTGACCGTTTGTTGACCGCAAACAAAGCATTGTTATTGAATGGCAATGTGCCGTCCATTTGTTTTGGTGGTCTGTGGTATTGTCGCACGATCATCATCAAAATTATTATCGTTTGTTCGAGAGCTTGTGACGAAATTTCATTATGGTTTACACTATAGCTGAGCGAGTTGAATTAGTTTATACTTATTTCAAAAACAATAACTGCGCAAGACAAACAGCACGACTATTTAATGAAAGACATCAGGGAAAAAATGTCTCGCATAGGTACTTACGTTAGGAAACTGATGGAAAAGTTTTTGGAAACTGGAACAGTGGAGAACAAAAAAGATAATCCGATTCGTGTTGTTAGGAATGAAGGCATGCAAATAGCAGTCCTAGGGCACATTACAATGGATAACACATTAAGTACCTACTAGCCAATTGTTCGAAGTTTCCGGCTTATCACGAACATGCTTAAGGAGAATTTGAAAGATTCACAAATTTTACCCCTACAAGATACAATTGCTTCACGAACTTAATCAGGATGATTATGATCGACGATTACAATTTGTAGAAGAAATGAGTGAGGGATTGGTGAATCGACATAATTGTCGATACTGGAGCGATTTAACCCCCACATTTATTTAGAGTCTCATAATCAATGTCCTGAAAAGTGGAATGTTTGGGCAGGTATTCTAGGCAATAACATAATTGGACCATTCTTTTTACAATGCAATTTGACTGGGCGATGTATCTGACTTTGCTTGAAGAAAATATTGTTCCTAAAATAAGGGAGGTTTTTGCTGAAGATAACAACTTGTAACAAGATGAAATATTTTTTAAACAAGATGGAGCCCCACCGTATTAAGCAGCACCCGTTCGGCAATTTCTAA